TACAACACTGCTCCCTTCGTGCATTGTGAAATTCCCTGAACCATTTTAATACAAAAATAAAACACTACACTAAACTTTCAATTCTTCAAGCTTTTTGGTAGTTTTCTCTTCAGAAGTCCATGGTATGCAGACGGGATGACCCTTGTCGTCACTGGAAGTTCAACCTCTGGTGTAATTTCCGTGTAGTACATAAGGATTTCCTGGTCATATAAGCTAGTTGAAGCTAGCCTAACTTCGCATCCATGTCTCAGCATGGTCAGTTCCAATATGTATTCTTCCTCGATGTCAGTTACTCGTACATAATTAAGTACAGAGCAGCTTCCTACAGCAGCTTCCCCTTTGTTGGAACTTTATCCAAGTACTGTTCGAATCAACCCCTCTTTGTTCTTCACCTCTGATGTCAATTTTACACTTTTCATTAACAAATTAAGCGAACCAATTGTAGCTATAGAAACTGTGTCAATCAACATATTGTAGAACTTTTCATTATTAAACCCATGGACTCGTGAACGATTTTCCACAAACAATGTACTTCTTATCTCGTTTGAGTATTCCCAGCTGAACTTCTAACCTGTCTTTTTTTTTTATGTCTTTGTTGTTCCTTTGAATCTGGTTGGACTCTCAGAGACATCTTCAGAGTGTTGTTTATTCCTCACAGTCTGCTGTAATGGCATCGTTTCCCACAATTAGAACAGTTTCTTCTTTCCAGTATCCTCTGGAAGGAGTTCTTATTACATGCAGCTTTTAATCTACAATTCCTAACAATATGTCCTTTCAACTTATATTCGAGACGCCAATTTTCTTGGGGTTATTTCCTACATTCTGTGTAACTAACCGTCTGATTATTAGTGGTATATTTCCTACATTCTGTGTAACTAACTGTCTGATTATTAGTGGTACATTTCCTACATTCTGTGTAACTAACTGTCTGATTATTAGTGGTATATTTCCTACATTCTGTGTAACTAACTGTCTGATTATTAGTGGTATATTTCCTACATTCTGTGTAACTAACGTCTGATTATTAGTGGTATATTTCCTACATTCTGTGTAACTAACTGTGATTATTAGCGGTACATTTCCTACATTCTGTGTAACTAACTGTCTGATTATTAGCGGTACATTTCCTACATTCTGTGTAACTAACTGTCTGATTATTAGTGGTATTTGCTAACTGGTTAATCGAAGGTCCTATTAGTTGCTTAGTCGATTAATACAAACAAAAACAAATAGATTAGCGGCAGGTGCTGCCAAAAAGTTTGCCTTACTTCTAAGCATCAGTTAAACAATGGCAGTGACAGGTAGCCTTAGTAAGTTTGTCATAATAAAAACAAGGCAAGTAAGTTTGGTACCAATATTTAGAATAACTGGATAGTTTGAATACCCAAATAGTAATAATTGAAAATCATAATTTCGATTAGTTGATTATTTTCGTGATGATCGATCAAATATCAAAGTTTCGATCTTGTAGGATCTAGGGATCCACGGGAAACAAAATTTGTCCGAATACCAGGTATTCGGGTAACTAAACTTCGGACAAGCTTTTCCAAAATTTTTCCAAATTCGGTTAAGGTTTATTCTTTCCACCATACCCTGTTCCAGAACTTTACTTTAGATACTCCTTTCTCGTGTGTCACTCCAGACTGTTGGATTAAGTAGCTATTGATACTTGAAAGTTATTGAAGGTTACTTTGTGTTAGTAAATCTGTTTTTAAATGGGCAGCAATATGAACAGATTGTTGTTCACTCTGGAAATGTTTAGACTGAGCCTCATGCGACTCCCATGGTACCTTTCATTGACTGATAATAGTGACTAACTTACTGACTAGCTTACAGAAGCAGAAACTTACTGATTACTTATTTATACACCCATATCTAGATATTAATCGAAGTTAGTACTAGATCATCACCGTTAGCAGCTCCCTCTATCAAACAGCTAAGTTAAACATTTAAAATATAGCTTACATCTATAATATATTGCGCATACATGATATAGATAGCAAAGCACCTTGCATTATTCACAACATCAACTACCAGAAATACACTTTGTACTATCAAATTTGTACTATAAATAGGTCCTATATAGTAACGTGTTTGTTTGTGTTTGTTTGTGTGTGTGTGTGTGTGTGTGTGTGTGTGTGTGTGTGTGTGAGAGAGAGAGAGACGAGGGTA